GCTTTTCATTGTACTTACCTCTTCTGAAACAGCTTGATAATAGATTTTTTTTTTCCCTTCCCTGCAGAATTTAAACTTCATGAGAACAGGGTTGGGCTTCTCTCACTTGTCACTCTTATCTCCAGTGCCTAAAACAGGACCTGGCAGGTGCTAAGTAAATATTACGTCTATTAGTCTTAGGAATGCATTTGTGACTAGCTGATAGCCTTAAACAGATTCATTCTTACAGTGAATACTGCAAATAATTCATGAAAAGGTTGGCATTTAGGTGAGGATTAGGGAGGGTTTACTAAGTTAGTATTTAGTATTGGATGCTCAGGGTCATATGTGGCTGCTAATTTTCTTGGAGGAGTGTGCTTAGATGATTCTTAGATGGCATTTGAATCGATCTAGACAAAACAGGTAAAAGTGGTAAATGATGAACTGATCTTAAAATGTGATTTGCACGAATCAAATATTAGGCTTTAAGAAGTTAACATTTCATTTTTGTGAAGTTAAAGATGCATGGTTTATCATTTAAATAATATGAGGGCAAGATACAACTTTATATTTAAAGGCTCAGGAGATTTTGTAATTTGCCTTTAACTGTATTTACCTTGTGATGCTGTCTTTTTTTATCGTGCTGGGGGTACATTGTGACATTTACAAAAGTTCTTACAATGTACCATAGTTGAATTCACCCCCTGTGATATTGTTTTGATTAATCACGATCTACTTTCTAAAATGCGAGTCAGAACTATTTTAGTTGTACTGGAAAAATTCAAATCAAATTATTTGCTTAGTCCGAAAAGAGAGTTTGTTAGGCATATGGAATCCAAAAGTGGATTGAATAACTCAACTGTGGGAAAAGCATTAAGTCAGTTGGGCTTTCTGTACAGCCAGAACAAAATCTATTTGAATGCTATTAGTTATTTCTTGTCAACAGCCTTGTGAATTTTTATTTATTTGTTCATGAATTGTTTCAGTCTTTCATAGTAGATTGGCTCTCTTTACTTGGTAGAAAACAACATGCATAATTTAAAAATTAAGTGTTAAATTACATGGAAGATTGCAATACTGATCTCTGCCTAAGTTAGTTTTTCTGAAAATATTTACACTTCTCAAATATCCTAATTAAAATTATCTTTAAGGAAGATTGTTTTAGATGGCAGAAGAATTTTTATATTCATTAGTTTCATGAATATAAATTTCATTGTAGAGAGCATTAAAAGAAATGTCAGTACAATTTCCTTTCTTTTTTTTTTTTGGTGATCCTGAAATTTGAACTCAGGACTTTGTGCTTGTGAGGCAAATGCTCTATCACTTGAGCCACACACACCCAGCCTAGCAAATACATGTTTTTTAGTGCATCATTTTTGTGGTGTGATTTCTAAAAATCCGAACAAGTTTTTAAGTAGTCAAGGTTTTATCTTGGTTTGTGTATATACATTTTGTATTGAAATTTGTACCAGAAGTATATTTGTTAAGTACTATGGGAAAATTCTGTACACATTTATAAACTTAACTAAATTATATTTCAAGAGCCGCCCATATTAACTACTAATTGAGACTCTTCATACATATGTTAATCTGTCTTGCAATTAAAAAATAGATATGTGAGTTTCACAGGAGAGGGTTATCAGGAGAGGGTACCAAATAACTTGTTCTTTTCTGGCTAATATTTTAGCTTATCTCTAGCATATGGTTTGTAAGTTTGGAAGTGACCAGAAAGAAAGCAGGAGAGATATGGAGGGACTTTGCTGTCTTGAGGAGTTTAGCCATTTTCTTCCACAGGAACTAGTACTGTGAATAGTTTATTTGATAGTACTGGGATTTGAACTTGGTGCCTCATGCTTGCTAGGCAGACGCACTACCCACTTGAGTCACTTTGCCCTGTTTTGTATTGGGTGTTCTCGTGATAGAGTCTCTCAAACTTGTTTCCCCAGACTAGCCTCCCATCTCCATCCTCCTGATTTCTGCCTCATGAGCAGCTAGGATTACAGGCATGAGCCACCAACACCCAGCTTAGTGAAGTATTTAAAATAGAACAGCCACATTACATTGCAGCTCTGTATGTAGTATATGAAGGATGTGATGAGGGCTTGGGAAGAAGAGGGCTTTAACTATAGTCAGAGTGGGGAAGTTGAGCTGATAGTGTACTAAGTGTGAATGGCACTGCATAATTCTGGCAGTATTATATAGGTCCATATTTGTTAATTCTCTTAAAAATCAGTTGGAAATTGAGGGGGGAATTGAAAAAAGCTGAACATCTCAGTTTTTCTCTCTGGTTTACTACTGCTTCTTTTCTGGGGAACAAGGATATTAAGATTGGGAGTTTGTGAGAATGAGAAATTGACTGGCTGTCTAAATAAACTAGTGGATGAAGCTAAAATAGGTAAGGAATGAGGAATCCCCTTGTCATCAAGATACCTTAACCAAGGGATAATCACATTAGATGCTTATTTGAGAGTAGTTACAAAAAAACAAATTGGTAGTACAGTGGAACTAATTCATGAAGATTCTAGTGGGTATAATTTTTATTGAGTTCTAGGATAGTCCCTTTTTCATGTATTTTCAAAACTTTTCTAAAGATTTTTTGTTTTTGGCAATGTACTGGGGTCTGAACTCAAGGCCTTGTTACTTGCTGGGGAGGCATTTTAGCATCTGAGCCACACCCCAGCCCTCTGAAGATTTTATTTTCTAAAGTATTAAAATTACTGGAATCTCATTTTAGGCTGGAGACAGAGCACAGGTGGTAGAGTGCAAGCACCAGGCCCTGAATTCAAACTGCCTTTCCCCCCAAAAAGAATCTCAGTTTAGTAACATTAGTTAATTATGTACTGTATAATTGATTATAACTATATATGTTACTTTTATAAACTTCCTATTATGAAGTAATTTTAGACTGTGAGTGAGAAAGAATTGTTGCAAAGACAGTATGAAGTTCTCACATATCTTTCAGACAGCTTCTCATGGCTTATTTATCAAACCTAACTTAACCTACATTGATACAATCTTAAAGTACAGGCTTTATTTTTTATTATATGTTAGTTTTTCCCACTAATGTATTTTTCCTGTTCGAGGATCCTGTGTTTTGTCTCCTTGCTATCTCTACTCTAGTTTGTGATAATTCCTCAGTTTTTGTTGTTTTTCATGACCTTGACAGTTGTAAAGAGTACTGGTTTATCTGATGTTTTTATTGATTGGACGGAGGCTGTGGATACTTGGGAAGAAGATCACAAAGGTCATGTGCCTGTCTCATTGAGTACTATTACATATTAACAGAGGTGGGGTGCATATGGTATGTCTTTCTTACTATGGGGATGGTAACCTTGATCACTTGATTAAGATCATGCCAGGCTTCCTCACTTTATTCTTTATGTTCCACACTCTGCTCATTACAAGTGAGTCCACTGGCTGGGGGCATCATAGCAGTGGTAGAGTGTGTGTGCGTGTGTGTAGCACTTGTGAGGCCTTGGGTTCAATCTCCAGGGCTTCCCTTCACACCCCCGTCTCCGCCCCCCACAATAAAAGAAAAAAAGTAAGTACTTTGGGGTGATATTTTAAGACTGTGAAGGTGGCCTTTTAATTTTTTATTTTTTCTTTAAAGTTTTGCCCAGTAACTAGCAATTCAGCAGTGGGGCTTATTTGGAGCAGTAATTACTATGTCTTTTGTTTGTTTGTTTTTTGGTGTTACCCATTTTGAACTCAGAGCCTTGCCCTTGAGAGCTTGTTTGGAGGTTCTAGCAGGGGAGCGCAGCTACTCGTATACCCTTGACCAGAGAACGGGCCTCCTGTATCGGGGATGGTCGTCCTCTTCCACTGAGTGCGCAGCTTCGGGAGGGACAGTCATGGAGCGGTGAGGGAGGAAGGGGACACCCGTCTAGCCAGCCAGATCAGCCAAATCAACCCTGGTGATGAATGGGGTGACACATGTCGCAGCCAAGTCGCCCTCACATCCAGCCTTGCCCTCGATAGGCAGGTGCTCTACCACTTGAGCCACCCTACCAGCCCATTGTTGTGTTTTTTAATAGTGATATTCTAGTTCCTTTATTCCTTGTACGTTGGATTTTTTTCTGTACAAGAGGTTTGTTAATTTTGTCTTACGTTCACATTTATTTGCATACTTGATCATTACGTTGATGTGGAGAGGTGGGTATTTATTTTGTTCTTTGGGTTACAGGTTAATATCATCACTGCTCATGCTGTTGCTTGCATTGTTCCCGCTTTGGCCCTACAGCTCTTTCAGACTGTCTCTGCACTCTTTCACGATGATTCTTTCCTTAATTATTTTTAGAATTTTGTTACTTTCTGATGCAACAGTGCAACAAGATGTTCCAGAGTCATCTTGTATTTTCCCTTCCCCAGCCTTATACTCTGCAATTGCTCAAAAAATCCTTGGGTCCCTTTTATTACAGTCACAAAAATACTTTTATTCTAATTCAGGAAGTAATGCCTTTCTGTGGATTTTTACAAGTTGTCAGTTGTCTTGTAAATAATACACAACAGCTTTATTTTTGTGTTCTTTTTTGAGAGAGGGTTTTGTTATGTAACTCAGGCTTTTCTTGAACTAACATCCTCCTAGCTCAGCCTTCTGAGTGCTGAGATTATAGGGGTGTACTACCATGCCCAGTTTATTTTTTGTGGTGCTGGGATCAGATTCCAAGGCATACTAGGTAAGTACACTGGCGTTTGAAGTCAGGGCTTTGTGCTTACAAAGCAGGCGCTCTTGAGCCACACCTCCAGTCCATTTTGCTGGTTATTTTGGAGAGCAGGGGCCTCATGAGCTATATCCCCCAGACTGGCTTTGAAGCTCAATCCTCCTCATCTCAGCCTCCCAAGTAGCTAGGTTTATAGGTATGAGCCACTTGTAGTAGTCCTGGCACTTGGAAAGAAGTGCAAATCTTTTTTTTTTTTTTTAATTCTGTACTGGGATTTGAACTGGGGCCTACAGCTTGAATCACTCCACCAGCTTTTTTTTTTTTTTTTTTTTAGTTGGGTGTCTTTGAGATAGGGTTTCACAAAGTATTTGCCCCGGCTGGCTTCGAACCTTAATCCTCCTGATCTGTCTCCTAAATAGCTAGGATTGCAGGTATGAGCCACCAGTGCCTGGCAAGAAGTATAAATCTTAACTAAGAACAGTGACTGGTTCTCAGACTTTAGTGTGGATCAGAATCATTTGGAGGTCTTATTAAACCAAAATACTCAGTCTCCCTTCTCCCTCCCCAATTTCTGATTGTGTAGCCAGTAAGTTCTAGTGATGATAATGTTGATACTGCTGGTTTGAGGGCTATAGTTTTAGAGCCACTGTAAACGGATTGGAGAGAAGTGAATTAGGTAGAGGAATTTAAGGAAGGGATCACAGTGATCTGTTCATCTCCTGATGTTTTTGTTGATTGTGCCTGTACAGCTTGGTCTTTGTTTTATTTTTTTTGGTGGTACTGGGATTTGAACTCAGAGCCTCACGCTTGCTAGGCAGGTGCTCTACCACTTGAACCACTCCATCAGTCGTTATTTCTCTTTCAGACTAATAATTATATAATCCAGAGTTTAAACTCTTTAAGGAAATTGATATCCACAGACTTTGGACATACGAATGTAGTGAAGTGGTAAGTGTCTACTTTCTCTTTGTTAAGAAAATAAAATGTAATCATCATCACTGTATTAATAACTGAAATAAAGTTTTCATTTTATTAAAAGGACCTATAATACGTGTGTATATAAACATGTCAAGGTAAATTTTGTAGGTAGGAAGAAATTGCTTACTTTAAGGTGATTGGTTAGTTAGGAGGATAATTGGATTGTTAAGACAAACGTAGGAAGGAAGGTTAACATTTGTGTGTCTCCTCTTCCCCCCCATCTTTATTTTTGTTAAAGTGGCTAAAGATTGAAATAAAGTGAATAAGTAATTGTAAATTATAGAAGCTTTAGATTTAATATGTAAATTAAGAAATAGTTGGCTCTTTAAAAATATTTAAATATTTTGAAAAGTATATGTTAGTATTATAGTACTAAATGTACACAACATTATAAAGAGAAACACTAAATATATTTATATGTATGTGAACACCAAGTGAAGCAGTAACAGTTGATTATGTAATATGTTGTATTTGGAGCACTTAAAATGGTTTTTTTTTTGTTTCTTTCATTTTGATTCTTTTTTCACGTCAAGTATATTTCTTAGAATTTTCTACAATCAGGTGAGCAGTTTTAAATGTAAGTAAAAAAAAAAAGGGGGGAGGGTGTTAATGGGCTAGGACTGTAGCTCAGTGGTAGAATGTCTGCCTAGCTTTGGTTCAATCCCCAACACTAGGAGCATCCCCTGTCCCCCACAAAAAGGGGACTTAATTTTTTTCCCCCAGTACTGGGGCTTGATCTCAGGGCTTTATGCCATATGTTATTTTCTTATTTACCTGTCATAGAAACCTGGTTTCCATTGTATAACATGCCTGATTCTCTCTTCCCCCACACACTGGGGATTGAACGCAGGGACTCATGCATGCTAGACATACACTCTTACCACCAGAGCCATGCCCCACCCTCCTCACTTTTTCTTTCTTTTATTTTTAAAGTAGGGTCTCACTAACTTTGCCTGGGCTGCCATCTTGTGATCCTCCTATCTACCTCCAGAGTAGCTGTGATTAGGCTGTACAACCATGCCCTGCTGTGTGCCTGATTTCTATTGTGTTTGTGTATTTATTGTATTTCATGTAAGTGGCTTAACTGAAAAGACACTGAAAGTTGTTGATTTCCCATTTTATGACTTGAAAGTCCAGAGTAGTAATTATGAAACCTTACAGTAGAGTTTTTCCCTATAACAAAAAATCTTTAAAAGATTTAATGTTTTAGAGCAGGTTTAGGTTCACATTAAAATTCAGAGGAAAATGCAGAGATTAAATGTATACTGGCTGCTCCCACATGTGTACATCTCCCCCATTATTGACATCTCCCATCAGAGTGGTATATTTGTTACAACTGATGAATTTAACCTACAGTTCTTACCTAAAGTCACATTTCATTATATTCTTCATTCTTTGAGTTTTGACAAATACATAATGGTATGTATCTACCACTAGAGTATTACAGAGTGTTTTCATTGCCCTAAAAATCCTCTGTGCCTCACCTATTCATCCTTCCCCTATTTTCCAGCCCCTGACAATAACTGATCTTTTTGCAGTCCTCCATAGTTTTGCTTTTCTCAGTGTCATATAATTGGAATCATACAGTGTGGTAACCTTTCCAGGAATGCTGCTTTCTCAGAGTAATAAGGCATTTATATTTCCTGTCTTTCATGATTTTATTGCTCATTTCTTTTTGATACAGAAGAATAGCCTGTTGTCTGCCATAGTTTATCCATTGACCTACTGAAAGATATCTTGACTGGTTCTAAGTTTTGGCAGTTATGAATAAAGCTGCTACAGATATCCATGTGTAGTTTTTTTGTGTGGATGTTTTTTCAATTTCTTTGGATACCAAGGAATATGATTGTAGGAAGGTGCGTTAAGGACCCGTCCGTCCCCTTTTACAAGAAACCACTGAACTATCTTCCAAGTGGCCATATCAATGGCTCCTAGCAGCATTAAATGAGTTCCATTGCATCCCATCCTGCCAGCATTTGCTCCAGATTTGGCTATTCCAGTAGGTGTGCAGTGGTATTTCACTGTTTTCTTCTCATTGTTCTAGTTTGCATTTTCCTGATGGCATATGATGTGGAACATCTTTTCCATAAGCTTATTTGTTATGTATGGTTTTTTAGGGCCTACAACTTAAGCCACTCCACCAGCCCTTTTTTGTGAAGGGTCTTTTTGAAATAGGGTCTCTACAAACTATTTGTCTGATTGTCTTCAAATTGCTGTCCTTCTGATCTCTGCCTCTTGAGTAGCTAGGATTATAGGTGTGAGCCACTGGTACCCGTCACCATCTGTGTATTTTTTTGTTCAGTTGTTTTGGTCTGCATTCCATTTTATGAGTAGTTTGTGTTCTTATTTGTAAGTTTTAAGTTTTTTTTTTTTTTTTTTTGGGTATGTGGGACACTCAGCACTGCAAAGAAAAAAAAGTGTTCCTTACATATTTGGATAGCAGTTCTTTATCAGATGTGTCTTTTTGCAAATATTTTCTCAAGGTTTTGTAGCTTGTCTTCTCATTCTGTTGACTTTTTTGCAAAGTGGACATTTTTAATTTAAATGAAGTCCAACTTATTTCTTTCATGGGTTGTGTCTTTGGTGTTGTGTCTCAAAAATCATTGTTATACCCCTAATCATCTAGGTTCCATCCCGACATTATCTTCTAGGAGCTTTATAATTTATGCTTTATGTTTAGGTCTTCGATTTATTTTGACTTCATTTTTATGAAGAATGTGAGGTGTGTGTCTAAATTCACTTTTATGCTTGTGGCTACTCAATCAAGCACCATTTATTGGAAATCATGTATTTGCTTCATTCTATTTTGCCTTTGCTTTTTTATCAAAGTCGATTATGTTTACTTCGGTGTGTTTCTGGCTCTTCTGTTTCATTGATCTGTTTGTTCTTTCACCTGTACTTGACTGTGTCCTGAGGCTTAGTGATCCAGCTTTGTCTTTCTTTCTTTTATGTTGGCTTTTCTTGGTCTTTTGCATATGAAAATTCAAATTGACTTTAGACCAAGTTTGTTGATATTCAAAAAATAACTGCCTGGGATTTTGATTGAGATTACACTATTCAGTCTTTTCTTTCTTTCTTTTTTTTTTTTTTTTGTAATACTGGGGCTAGAATAGAACACTTGCTAGGTAGGCATTCTACCACTCGAACCACTCTGTCAGTGACAATATTGATTGTTCCTATTTGTGGACGTGGAATATCTCCATTTATTTTGTTCTTCAATTTCTTTTGCCAGTGATTTTTTTTTTTTTTTAAATTGGGGTTTGAATTCAGAGCTTCACACTTGCAAAGAAGATGCTCTATTGCTTGAGCCACACCTCCAGTCCATGTTGCTCTGGTTATTTTGGAGATGGGGGAAAGGGTCTCGCAAACTATTTGCCTGGACTGCCCTAAGCCTGAAACTGCTGTGCTCCTGATTCCCGCCCCCAAGTAGCTAGGGTTACAGGTGTGAGCCACTGGTGCCTAGTTTGTTTTTTACTTTAAATGAACTTTTCTCATATAGATCTTTGTATGTGTTTTGTTGGATTTATACCTAAGTGCCTGAGTATTGGAGTCTGTTTGGCAGCTACTGACAGTGACATCTGTACTACTCAGTGACCAAGAGTACAGTGGAGGGTATCACATAACTAACATAAGGTAAAGTACATCTGTTTTAGGTGTGTGACTCAGTAAATCTTCTTTTAGTTGAGGTATAATTTATTTCCAATAAAATGAACAGATGTTACTGAAATAGTTTAATGAATTCTGATGCTTATTTAACCATGTAACCCACCCCAGTCAAGATTTAAAACATTTTCATCATCCAGAAAATTCCCATAGGCCCTGTTTTCCTTTCTCTATACCTTAGAGAATTCCTTTTCTAATTTATGTTACCATAATTTAGTTGTGACCAATCCTGGCATAGTGGTACGTGCTTGTAATCTCAGGGCTCTGAGGCAGGAAGATAGTGAGTTCAGGGTCACCCTTGGCTACATAATGAAACCTTGGCTCAGAAAACAAAAATGCCACAAAACCCCTTAAAAATCATGTTCATGATTTGTTTTAAAACATATCAGCTATCAACAAGATCAAAATACAGAGCATCTCATGCCTTCCAGCAGCCTCCTTTTTCCCTCCCTCCCAGTTTATATCTTCCCCACTATATTGACATGACATCCACTAGAGATTAATTGTGTAAGTCTTTAAGTCTTTGCATCATCTGGTTTGGATTTTTGTTTGTTTCCTCTCCTATGTTGCCTAGCCTGGTCTTAAACTTATGGACTCAAAAGTGATTCTTCTGCCTCCCAAGCAGCTGGGACTACACTGCATCATCGCTTGTATCAAGCAGTAGTTGCTTTTTCTGCATCTCTCTCTACACACAACACACACATACGTACATACATACATACACACACACACATGTTTACATGCATATATAACATTTTACTGTTACTGGTCAGATTTTTTCAGACTTTTAATTTTTTCTTGTATAAATATACTGTGTTGTAGCCAAAGCTGGAGATAGATGCTCTGCATGGAGACTCTGGTGTGTATTTTTACAAGATGGCTAGTGAATTACTGATGAGGATACTTGATGAACATGATCTTTTCCCAGAGGTTGGGGGTAGGTCTTGGAGATGACCTTGTCCAAGTTTCCCAGGATGGCAGAATAGCCCCTGGTTGAATTGTAACAGTTGTCAATATCAGTCATCATCAGCAGCTTCTTGGGCACAGAAGCTGAGACAGTACCAGTTCCTCTGGGGGTAGGGTTGAGGTATACACCAGCATAGAACCTCAGCTGCCTGTTTCCTTGCATGGATCAGCATGAGGCTTGACAATCTAGGAACAATGGAGAGCTTGGCCAAATGATGACCCCCTTGGATGTTGGGGCTACATCCTTGGAGCACCTAACATGCAGAGTGATGTTGACAATTGTAGTCTCTGATGATGACAAATGCCTTGAACCTGGTCAGCTGGCCAATGTGAATCTGCTTGGCCACATCTTGCTGATGCAAGGTCACTTGCATCAGCATGTGTTCAAAACCTCATCGTAGAGAGTTTGGTCCCGGGAAAACATCAATAATCGTAGACTCCTTGATGGGCAGGGAGAAAAGATAGCTCTTCTCCAGGGACTTGACCTTCATATCCTTGACCAAGTGGCCCATGTTGGTGATGAGGACCATACCCTTGTCATCATCCTTGCCTCAGTGAGCCCTAGGCCCCAGTTTTGACCACAGTTATTAATGTGTCTCCAGAGGTCCAGAAGCTGCTGTGGCCTTCCACATCCTGGGCCCTCCTGTTGTACCAGTGTCACCTACCATTTGGCATTTTCCTGGTTTTCAGCTTTGGGCTATTCTCAGTAAAAACTGCTGTGAACATTATAAAGTGCTAGTATCTTTTTGGTGTATCAGAAATGTAATTGATGGGTAATAGGGTATAATATATGTCTCACTTTTGTAGGTAACAACCAAGTACCTTCTTAAGGTGGTTTTACCAATTTACATTTCAGCTATCAGTATTTGAGAGTGCTTGCTGCTCCATATCTTTGTTAAAAATACATGTTGGTTGTTTTTATTTCAGTTATTTGAGTGGGATGTAGTGGTATCTCATTGTGGTTATAATTTGAATTTCCTTGGTGGCAAAAAATGCTGAAGATGTTTTCATGTGCTTATGTTGGTACACAAGTTAAATCCTAGTGATGTAACTTGGAATCATTTGCAAGGTTTTAAAAATAGATTAGGGAAATTAGCCCATTGTGATATGATTCAAAAGGGTTTTTTTTTAAAACCTATTTATAATATTTTTTGGTTTGTTTGTACATTTATTTATTGGTGGTACTGGGATTTGTACTCAGCTTTGCACCACGTAGTCAGGTGCTCTACTATCTGAGACAAGCCTACACCCTTTTGGAGATTTTCACATTTTGCCCAGGTCGACATTGACTGTAATCCTCCTATTATAAGCTTCCCATCACCAAACACAGCTTGTGAGATGAGGGTCTCAAAAACTATTTTGCCTGGGCTAGTCTGGAGCAGTAATTCTCCTGATCTCAGCCTCCTGTGTAGATGGGATGACAGGCGTGTCACTCCCAGCTAGTAATTGAGGTGGTCTGGGGCATTTGAATTTTTTGCCCAGCTGGCCTCCAACTGTGATCCTCCCCATCTCAGCATTTCAAGTAGCTAAGGTTACAGGTATGGGCCACTGGAGTCTGGCTATGTGTTTTTTTTTTTAAACTTTTGACTAACATAAAAGTCATACAATTAGCAAAGTTTAAACGAGTAATTTGGTCACATTTGTTACTCTTTCTAACTTGTTTCTGAGTTTTATGGAATGCATTTGAAAATTGCCTTCTCCTTTTTGAGTTTATTGGCTGAAGTGTTTTCCTTTGACTCACCGGTATTTCTCCCCTCTTTTTACCCTTTTTTTGTGGGACTGGAGTTTAAATCCAGGGCCTTGTGCTTGGAGTGCTCTACCGCTTGAGCCACACTTCAGTCCATTTTGTTCTGTTTATTTTGTAGATGTCCAGATAATTCTCAAGTGGCAATCCTCCCAATCTCAGCTTCCTAAGTAACTAGGATTTCAGGTATAAGTCCTTTTGGCTGGTTTCACCTATGTCCAGTGAAGAGTGCGGGTTGGGAGTATTTCTTGTACGAATCCAGAGACCTAAAAGCTATGGGTAATGTGCCCTTAAGTGATTCTGCATCTGAAGACCTCTACTATTTTTTCATTCTAGGTTTAGGAATCTTTGTAAACAAGGTTAAAAGATTGGCCCACTGTCTCAGGTTTTCTTCCAGGATATTGACTGCTACTCTCTAGTTGATTCTGCTTGTATCTGTACAGATGGTAATAATGGCTTACCAGTCAGACGGCACTAATTGTAAGGTTGAGTTTTACAATTGATGAATACATTTTGAAATAAAAAATAATACTTTTTCCAGATTGATCTGCTTATTGCCCTGGCTGGAGATAAAATATTTATCTTGTTCAATAACTATAGTTTGTGTGTTAAATTTAGAGAAAGAAAAAAATACTCAATCATATGTAGCTAAACTATTCACTGCCTTCTAAACACTGCCTTGGCAATACTGCTTGGGGGAAATCACTCTGGTGCTAATGATCTCTTTATAGTAATTCCCTTTTATGTAGGGTTTTACATGGCTATTGATGAGTTAAGAATCTTATACTTGGATTTTATAAATTGAAAAATGTAGTTAACCTGACTCATATTGTACATAAATAATTTGAGGTAGATGTGGGAAATAATCATTTTGCCTCCTGCTTGTAAAAATCTGTTTTCAATCAGGATTTTTGGGGAAGGAAATCTTAAAGGTCACAGACTAGCTAAAATAATTACATAAAAAGTGAGGATAGGTAAAACTTGCCAAAGGGTTATCTAAGATGCTAGGCAAAACCATCAGGAAAACTGGAAAACATATCTAAAGATAAAACAGAAATATAAAAATAGAAAATTGTGTTAAGCAATAATGTTAAGCATTTATCAAATTTCCCCAAGGAAGAAAACAAAAAACCTGTGTGCTTGTATACCTTTAATATATCTCAGATCCTTAACTGGCTTTGCTTGTTCAGTAGGCAATATATACTTTAAAATTTTTTTTACATTTCTAGAAAATGTTTAGGCCTTTAAATATCTTCTGTGATGTAGAACTTTTTCAGATAGCAAAGCGTAATTGAGAGCTTGATGGAAAAGGAGACTTTACCTCAGGAAACCTGCTGCAGGGGTGTTTCCTGGAATTGGGAACAGAATGGGAGCTAGGGACCCAGTGGACACTGTTCTGTGTGAGAGTCTTGCTTTCCTCTGCATAGTGGATATTAATGAGCTTCCGGTGGCTCTCTGATTTACATTTGTCTAAGTTCCCTCCAAAGAAAGTACTTTTAACTTCATCCCCTCCTTCCCATTTTTTTTTTCTTTTCTCAGGTTAAGTAATGTACTCGGTGTCACATACAAATATGACTCTGTAGTCATGCTTGTAACCACTATTTAATATTATTCAGCTGAGTTACATTTAAACTATGAGGTTAGATCATTAACATGGTGCTGTCAGTGAGCTTGCCTTATTGATGAAACTTTAGAAGACTTTTAAGCAGATAAACATGTTAAATTTTACTGAAACAAGCAGAATGTGGAGTCCTTATGCAAATATATGGCTAGTGCCTCAAAATTTGGGGACTAACATAGCTTGTTTTAAAAACAAAAATAAATGGCCATCACAGTTTTCACCAAGCCCTGTGCACCAGGTGGCAGCAGTTAAGTTACTTGTTTATAGGGGCTGGTAATTCCTAACGTGTAGTGCTGATTATAATTTAGTGATTCCCTCTACCCCACTGAATTGTTAAAGAATGATATATCTTTAGTACTTGAAAGGGATGCTATATAATACTTCCTTTAAGAACGAGTAGAGAATGAACAAAAGAACTCATGATGCTGAAAACATGATGAGAATTTCCTGTTTGGTGTTTTCAGGTAGCTACTTTGATACTTCAGATGCATGTATGAAAATGGAATAATGACATTGGTTAAAAATTGTTTAAAGAGGGAGGACAGGTAAGAAAAGAGTAATAGAGGGGGCGAATATGACCAAATACTTGATAGACGTTAAATAAGGTATATACATGACCTCTTTGTACAATTAATACATGCCAGTCAAAAAGTAAAGTGCTTAGACTTGTCATTTATATGTATGTAAATTTTATATTGACTTTTTTTTTTTTTTGGGTGTACTGGTGTTTGAACTTAGGGCCTCACCCTTGCTAGACAAGTATTCTGCCACTTGAGCCACTCCACCAGCCTTGTTTTGTGTTGGGTATTTTGAGATAGGGTCTCTAGAACTGTGCCTAGGGCTGGCCTTGGACCTCAATTCTTGATCTCTGCCTGCCTAGTAGCTAGGATTACAAGCTGGCGCCCTGTTAAATACTGTCTTTTATATAGTATTTCTTTTTAATTATGTATTTCTCATAATACCGAGCATTGAACATACTCTTTTTTAAAAGGGGGGGTTCTTATTTTATAAACTGTAGATACCCCAAATTGTGCAGTAAGTGATTATTTACTTATCATTTTGCAATCTTTTTAGCATTTGATAATTTACACAATTTTTAGGAACTAGTTTATTCAGTTTGGAAGTGAGCTGTTTGCTTTCTTTCCTTAGCAGCAGGATTCAGGCTCAGCATTTAAACCTCTGATGAGAGCTTTTTCTTTTTGTCCATTGAGGAAAGTCTAACTGCATTCCACATAAGTTAAAATCATCATTCTCATTACAGAATCAAAAAAAGAAAATCGTTCTGCCCTTCACGTTTTAGAGCAAGAAATCTGAAACTTGGTATCTCGGTTTTTTTGAGTCAGTCTTAAATTGTAACCCAGGCTTCTGATCTTCTCCCTCAGCCTCCTGAGTGTTAGGATTAAAGGTGTGACTATAGTGCCTAATTGAAGAATTTTTAATTCTAATGATTTTAGAGACCATATTGTATTTTTATAACTTTAGTTTTGGATGTGGGGAAGATAAATAGTTGTTTACATGGGCCTATAGGATGATGTACCTATAATTGATTTATATTCAATTGTTTGTAGAAGAGTATTTGTTTAATACCACTTCAGGGATGTTAGATTAACTTCTGGGTTTTTCTATCCTTCAGCGTTAGTAGTTGTCCAAGGTAATGGTGCTCAGCCATCAGTTTCCTAATTACATCTGTCTAGAGGCCCATCAGCTTCTTAGCTCCTTTTAGTTACTGCCTCTGAACTGTTTCTTAGAAGGAACACCAACAACATTTTCAATCCTTAACATATGATTGGAAATTAAAAATTGTACCATAGGTAACCTTGTTCTAAATTCCCATATTTACACTGGAATTTGCAGTGCATAGTATGCTACATATGTCCTGTTTTGCATTACGCATTAGTTTTAATATATATTGTCCTGTTTTTCTTATGCTTCCCTAAATTATTTTTTTGAAACAGGGGTTTATATAATTCTAGATAAGATGAATTCTTGGTTGGTGAAGAATTATTCTATACTGCATTAAATCTTGGCCTTACCATTAATCAAATACGGGGCAAGGGAAGGTCAGCTTACTGCCTTCTAGAGTCCATAAAAGGTAAGACTGGTACTTGTCTCAGTTACAAAGCAGCTTGTAAGCTGTGTAGTTTTGTTGGATAGCCTACCTTGTAAAGGAATGTGAGACAGAATGGTGAAGAGCTGCAGGGGGTTTTGGGAAAGCTGCATGGAAAGCAGACAATAAGCAGAGGGAAATGGAAGCAGTAATAACTCAATTAGGGTTAATCAAAAGCAAAGTGAAAGGGATATCAAACTCTGAAGGAATAACAAGAATGATACCTAGAGAAATCTATACAGAAAATATAGAAGAAATACTTAGAAATAGCTAGAATCCAGAGCCAGTATTAACTTGAGTAGGTGAGGGAAATAGATGTAGATATAACAGTTTTCTGCAAAAGCTGAGAATTGGGTATTCAGTCACATGTGTGGCTTCAGGGAAACCAAACAGAGGAGAGAGAGTGATCTAGGATTGAAGATTAAAATTCATAATGCAGAGTGAAGGTAGCAGTTTATGAGAGAGGTCCTATGGACTAAAAAAGAAGAGTGACAGCAGGGAGCTTTATGTAAGTTTTCAACACAGCCAGGCCAAATGAGTATTAATTTGCTGTACTTGTTCTCAATTTATTCCTGATGTTCCCTCACCTTGTTACCCATTTGAATTATCTTGGAACAAATTGGATATACTAGGATTTAGGACAAGAGAATGTAGTCTCTTAATGGGAAAAACTCCTTTTACCCTTTTATGGTGAAAAGTTTCACAGTAGCTGAGCTAGGGAATATATTACAGGTGCTCTGGGATACAGCTGGTTTCACACTCATCCTGTTTGCTGGGTTATATAAACCATCAACTAAAAGAATCAGATGCAACGGTTTCTTAATGCTGCTTCTCATACACACTGATGAAGTTAAGCTTTTGATACATACTTAAAAATACTTCATAAGTTAGAGATGCTGCAGACTGAAAAATATGTGTGGTTTTGAGTCTCAGATTTGGCTGTCTTTCCAGCTTTAATTTTACATAACACTGTGACTGGGTAAGTGACTAGATTTCTCTTGAAAACAGCTGCGTTATTATAAAGTAAAGGAGTTGAACAACATCTTTAAACTGTTCTGATTCTGTAATCCTATGCATTTAAAAAATTATTACTTGCTTTTACAAACTACCTTAGAAACAATCATCATACATAATATTTCTAGGAAAGAATGAGTTTCAAATTTTGAATAACTGGCTCACATTCCAGTATAGTGAGGTTACATCACATTCTCACAAATTGTTCTAATTTGTGGCCTGAATATTTTTTATTTTTATTTTGGTGAGACTGGGGTTTGAACTCCAGCCTTTACACTTGGAAAGCAGCTGCTCTACTGCTTGGATCATGCTTCAAACCAAGATCTTCCGGATCTCAGCCTCCCAGGTAGCTGAGATTACAGCATTGGTATGGCTTGTGTCTTGAATTTTAAATGAAGGTAATAGATAAAACTTTTCCTGTTTCTCCATTCTGATTAATACCTCACTCTACAGCTTTTTTGGGGATTATTTCACATGTCCTTAGATAATTAGTTCTGTTAGTTGTCTTCTCGGCTGCATGGCATTTGAATAGAAGTTTTTAGTTTTTCAAGCAGAAAGTTATTGGTGGAGCTGGAAAAAAAAATCTAAAACACTGAACTGCATGGCAGGAGAAAGCAGTGAATAGATCTGAGCATGTCAAAGTCACATGTATTCTTTTTGCTAGATAACTCAGTTTGTAGTTACTGAAAGAGGAGAACAGGATTGGTGACTAGTTGGTATTTAATTTTAGTGACTTTCGATCTCTGAATTTTGACGTGCATTGAAGGCACCCATCGTGCTGTAAGTTCTTAACATGTACCCTTAATACTGTGGATTTCTGTTTGGCTCTATTTTGTCTAGCTTTAAGAAATTGAGAAGTCTTCATTCTTAACTAAAATAGTAATACCTGTGACATACTACATACTGTTTGCTCCTCTGTATCCTTGAGTCCTGTTCTCCTGTACAGCCCTTTAAGAACTCAGTGCCAAAGTCTCACTTCAGTTTCCAGGGAAGATGAATAAGAAGAGGTACATTTGGCTCTTGGTTACCACCATCTTGATTGTTCTGAAAACAGTCCTTCTTCGTACTAATTTCTAGTTTGATAGGTTTACCCTTGTTATGAAAGCAGATAGATGAGAGAAAGAGGAAAAAAAAGACTTTCTGATTTAATCATTGGGCAAATGGTATAGTATGATTATATGTATGTCATATTCTCAAAGTAGAGAACCTGGGATAATAGAACTACATAGATATCTACTTTAAGATTTGTTTATACTGGCATTTTCTTAGAAATTAGAATAATTTTAGAGCAAAGGGCAGCATACTGTTTCTGCAAAGAATCAGATAACAGCACTGTTGAAGTGGGTCATAGCCATAGATAGTATTTAAATGAATAAGAAGTGACTGTTTCATAAAAATTTTTTTCAAATGATACTCTGAAATGGAAGTTCATATGATTTTCACATTCCTTATGCCTAGTAGTCATCTAAAAATGTAAAAATTATTTTTAAGTTTATATGCTGTACAAAAGCAGTTTGGATTTGGCCCACGGCCAAGGCTAGGTAACTCATATTTTAGTGCAGTAATGACAAATTTGTTTCAATTTGCTTTTCCTGTGCTATTTAGGTAAGCAATTGAAGAATCAGTATAATATCAAATAAGCCTTGAGATCTACCTGGTGTCAGTAAGTTTTATCTAGCATTTTAAATCTCAATCTCCTTGCCCCCCACATTGTGATATTTATATGTGTGCTTATAATATTTTAGATTTACCCCCCCATCATTCTCCCCCCCCCCACTTCTTAAAACAATTTCAGTAGGTTTCATTCTTCTAAATACATCCACCATATTCACCCTTTCCTTTTACTCAGCCACTCCTGCTTATATACACCCCTGGAAAAGACTTGTTTTACCCTCCTGTCCTTCATTTTTTAAAAAGTGTATATTGATGGTCCAAGGGGGTTTTGCCTTATATATGAGCACTATATCTATATATCTGTATTATAGGTATCAGTTTAACACCACCCCCCCTTGGTTATTTACTTTTTATCACCATGCTCTCTTTTATTCTATGGCTTATAGTGTATTACATTATATTTTTCATTCTCTAACTTTTAAGATTGCTAGGGTCTTGCAGACTGGCCTGGAACTTACGTATTCAGTCTAGACTTGAAGTTGTGATCCTTCTACCTCTGCCTTCCAAGTGCTGAGATTATAGGTGTGCATTGACATGCCCAGCTTCTATATTTGTTTCTTCTGAGTTACTGGATGCAAATTTAGCCACCTGATTAGTCCCCATTCAGAAACCAGTATGCACTTCACTCTCTTTCCCCTTGTTAATAGTGTGGACTGTAACATACACTGCCCCAAGGGAGGATTTCTCTTTTTTCACTTTTAGAGCTACCCAGAAGGTTGAAAGAGTTTATTTCTGTATGATACCAGCATAAAGTGCAGAATTATCTTTAATTTGAACTCAGTTTTTCCTTCTTAGTTAGCCACTTACAGCAAACTCTCCATGTAGTCATAAACTTGGTTGGAGAAGAGAAAGCAGTGCATCAGGAGTAGACACTGAAAATGTGAGCTGGTGCTTCATAACCAGTCTGTTTACTGTCCTCCATATACTGTTATCACAGAGTAATGGACTGTATCTGCCACATCAGCTTTACCTTGGTATATCAGATGATAGATAATTCGTGGTGGACAGCCCAGGTTGCAGAGTCATCTGTGCTTAGATCTTCATTCTCTAAAAGTACAAAAATTTTTTAAGGACTTTTTTCAAAAGAATTTTGGTTTGACAAAGAAGACATGTTTTTGCCCTTTTTAGGGGTGTCGGCTGTGATTATCCTTAGAGTTTGTCAGTGGCTTGTTATGACACTGATCTTTTGACACTTTGAGCACCATTGCAGTCATAGTTCTTTATGGTCAATTGGCAGAACTAGTTGTAGTGCAGTCTGGATTAATTTGAGAATTTTCTTCCTCTAGGTAACACTTAAAATGGCAGAATGCCAGGTCATTCAGTGAATACAACAGAATTTTGGTATATGTTGTTTCCAGTGTTCAAAGAGGCCCAGCAAGCTTTTTGCTACTTTTTTACTTGTAGGAGACATAAGGGATAGTGACTTCTTCCACTTTTGAGAGTATATCCTGGCATGCCACAGTTCACTTAGTTCACAGCCTGTAGAACTTAATTACTGGTGTCAGAATTCTGTATCTTCTTGGTACTTATTTTCTGGCTTGCAGGTCTTATCAGGGCATCTAGAGCACTGCTGGCTCCTCATCACAAAGTCCTTTTGGCCTGATACTATCAGTGTAGTGAACTAGTATGATGTCCATGGGTGTGGTGAGATAATTAAAATCATGAAAACTAGGAAGTTGAGTTGACTTGAGCAAGTATGGTGAATAACATGTACTGCTGTCTTAAGCCAAATGATAACCAGTTGCTTTGGGAATTTGTTTGCAGAGATAGAAAACGTTTTTGTCATGACTGAAGCTGCATGCCAGGTACTACACTAAACAGATTATATTTGGGTTCCAGCTGTGCTCTATCATTAAGATTAAAATAGTCATTCTTTCTTTTTCTTTTTTTTGAGACAGGGTCTTACTGTGTAGGCCAGGCTGGCCTTAAACATGTGATACTTTTGCCTCAGCTTCCTGAGTGCTGGGAGTTCACATGTTGCCACCACAGACGTGGCTTAAAATACTGTTTTTTTTTTTTTTTTTAAATATGGTGATAACTGAGATAGGTACTCTGATAGGTACGCACACTTGCTAAGTAGGCACTCTGCCACTTAAGCCATGCCCTCAGCTCTTTTTTAGTGTTTTTTGAATAGGGTTTTGCAATTTTTTTTGAAAAGGTAGACTTTTAATAACTGCCTTTATCACCAGATTAAGTCATGCAGTTACAAAGTAGTTAGAAATTTCTGAAAGAGTATTGTTAAAAAAAAAAAAAAAAGCGCGCTCATTGTTACATAAATAGTATCTAGTACTTCACGG